TGAAGTGTTTTTTTTTTTTTTTTTCTATAGGGTTTGTGCGCTTGCCAGAAAGACAGAGAGAGACAGAGAGACAGAAAGGGAGAAATCACTCCCCAGAAGGGATGGTCCTGCCACAATTCCTTCTCCTCCATTCTCCTCTCAGGATCTTGGGCACACACACACACGCACCCGGCGTGATTTTAAGCCACCGGGTCCAGGACTTGAACCACGTTCAGCTACGTGGGAGTCCAGCGACATAGCCATTACGCCAACAGCTGGTCCCCAGAACGTTTTTTTAACAATTCAAAAGAACTAAAATACATTGGTATATACAAAAGGTCTTATTAGCACCCATTTCTATACATAATGAAAAGAGATTTTTTATATAGAAGTTTTATGTTTTTAAACTTACAGAAAGGTTTATATTTAACTGCAATAAAAACATATTTTAACACCACCTTTAATTGTTAATTTGGTCTTCAAGCTTATGGTGACCTCCTTCCATATATATACTGTGAACAAATCTATTATAGGGTTAGCTCGCACTTATTTCATTACCTGAAATATTCTAGTTTGTTTAGAACTTGAGAACTGATCATTTATATGTTAAAGTATTAATATATGGTTACTCATTTATTATTATACATAAGGCATTGCTGAAGAGATATTTATATTATTTTTAACAACTATACCCAGAGTCATACATTTAAAAACTTCTTACCTCTTCAATGTGGTCACCTAGGAAGGCTACAATCATTTTCCAAAATTCAACTTTTTTTGGAAATTCCCTCACAGGATATAAATTAGGTTTTAGAATTTTATTAGCTTAAGAAGAAAATTTACTTCGATTTTTATTATCACTGGTTTTTGAGTCCAAATGTTTTACCTACCTTGATTATATTATTCACCTGTCTTGCCTAACTTGTCCTGAATAACTTTCAATTGTCTCTGTATAATGACATACCATCAAACAACAGGAAATTTTCCTGTGTGAGTAGTTGGCGATTTCAGATATTCCAAAGAAAGCTCTAAAGTATTTTGAATTCTGCAGCATCTTGTCATTATGTAAGTTGTATTGCCTCACAAGGTGAATTCTTAGGATATTCTTATTATTATGTTTTTAATATAAAATAAATTAGTATCTAGTTATATCTTTTTTTTTTTTGGAGAGATTTTTGCTATAGGACGCATGTGCTCGCTGGAGAGACAGAGAGAGATTGATAGAGAAAAAGAGAGAAATTACCCTTGGTGGGGAGGGTCATCCTACGATCCCTTTTCTTCCATTCTCCTCTCAGGACTTTAGGCATGCATGTACATGTGCCCAGGATGAATTTCAAGATGAAGGATCCAAGACTTGAACCACGGTCAGCCATATGAGAGTCCAGTGACATAACCATTATGTTACCTGCTGGCACCAGTATCTAGCTATATTTTATACACACATGAATACTTTCCTTAAACATATACTTCCATGCTTTTTTTTGTTGTTGACAGCTCCTCCTTTTTGTCTGACTATTGATTACCACAATGCAGCCCAAGTCCCAGAACTTAAACGCTATGTATGTCAACTGACAGAAATTTCCTGGGGACCCACACTTTACTTACCTGGGACCTATCGTGCTAAAGGTTATGAAGAATATAAATCCCAAAGGGCATAATCCTGGTGGTCAAGGAACTTCTGGTATAACTGGAAGTATGTTTTAAACCCAAAACTTCTATTGCTTCTTGTTGTTGTTTTTAAACAAGTAAATCTTTTTAGTAACTATGTGTTTTGATTGCTTCCTCTTTATCTATTGGTGAGGGAGAGATTCTTGCTCTAGAGTTATGGAGACAGCTGAACACATGACATCCAACTCTGAACTGAGAAGGTCAGCATCTTATCAGTCACAAAATATGTTCACTTCCTGGGTTTAGTGGACACTGCGCCCCCTGTAGAGGCACATAAGGATTGCACTCAGAGTAGAGAAAAGCAGCAGGGGCCACGGTAGGCAGGATGTGTCATAATAGTGTCATAATAATCTATCCTCCTAGATTCGCACAGGAGGATATGACAGGCTTTTTTGAATAATTCCATAGGGGCTGGTGGAGAACTGAAACCCATTACTCAGGATAAGCAGGCACTGTTCCTGCTTCTAGTCTTAGGAGGATGGTTTGGCTAGAGGATCTAACCCATGGGAATAGGGTGGGGAGGAGAGCTATTGGTAGGTCATATTGGTCCCTCTTGCATTTCCCCAAGTATTAAGGCACACATCATGTTAGGCCTTATTATACCGCACTTTTGCATATAAGATTTTGAATAAAACACTATAGAAAATGTTAGTATGTGTTATAAATAACTCTTGCCCTTAGGAAGTATACAGTCAAATTAAGGATTTATAAGTCTAACAAATGTAAAAATACACTTAAAACTTGTTATGTGCAGTATGAAAGCTGTAAGAGACACAGACAAAGGCCCAAAGAAATCAGAAGCGTGTAAGTTATTTCTGCCTATAGGAATTTAGAAAATTCTGGTGGGGAAAAGAAAAATGCTAGATTTTTAAAGACTAATTAATTAATTATTATTATTATTTTCTAATTTGCTATAGGTACTCACCAGAGAGACCAGAATGAGAGAGCGAAAGAGTAAAAGCAAGCCACCAGGTCTAGGACTTGAATCACAGTGGACCATGTGGGAGTCCAGTGCCTTAACTACTATGCCACCTATTGACCCATAATGCTAGATCTTAAGAGATGGATATAATTTCAGTAAGTGAAGATATGAGGATAGTAAATGGTAGTAGGGACAGGCAAGAGTGAAAAAATAGAGACAAGAAAGCAAAAGATATGTACTGATGTGTGATGTGTTAGTCTTGTTGGAGATGGACTACACAGAAGAAAGTACCTAGAAGAAAAAACTATATTTTAATACTTCATATTGTGTGTTAAGGTGATAGGGATCCATGGTGGGTGTTCAGCCAAGCAGTGGAATAGTCAGAGCTGTTTGTGCCTAAGTGGGTGGGTTTGTGTACGAGGTCTGTGGTGGGAGAAAAGGCTAAAGTTAAGGCATTTAGGAAGCTGTTATAGCAGCTCAGGTGAGAAATGAAGAACTCCTGAATGAACACAGCAGAAATGGAAGTAATAACAAAGTGACAAATGTAAAGGAGACTATGGCTGGGTTGATAATAATTGAAGAGGGAGAGGTCAGAGGACTAATGTTATGAGTTAGGACAGCTGATCCAAACCATTTACTGTACAATACAGGATAATCCATGCTATGGGACAGAATATAATTACTGTTTTTCATGACCTATTTGGAAATTAATTTGCTGGAGGGTCTCATATTCATTAGAAGTTGTATGTCTTCTGAGTGTTTTGGAAATAGAGAAAAATCTGAAGAAACTGAGATTTTTCTCTTCCCAATGGTTCTCAGTTGTTTCATTTTGAACTACGAGATCTATTTGGTGTGCATAGAACTTCCATTCATTCCAAAGAGGAAATTGGTTTCATGGGAGACCAGGGAAATCGTGGTCCTCATGTGGCCGGTGGCTCTGCTTGAGATGGGGCTTCTACTTCTTCTAAGGCTTTGTCACCACCCTCTTTTTAAGAGTTACTTCCCCAGGAGATGCTTACATTTTTTAAGGATTCATTCCAGTTTTCACTGAGGTTTGGCACGACACATGGTAGGAAAATACATGGTACAAGTTGGGTCCATGCCTCCAAGAGTTGATACCAATGAATAAACTGCTTAATTGGTCACATTTCTTCTCCCTCTCTCCCCCTTTTCTGCTCTTCCTCCTCCTCATTTCTTACTTTGCCAAGAACTCTCAAAGTCAGTGCTTTCCGAAGCATGGCAGGTATCAGTTTCACTTAGAATAATTTGTCCTCATTTGGAATATCTCACATTCTCATTCTCTGTATCATTCCTCATCTAGACGCTTGGGATGAAGGAAGGTACTCTAGAACTCATCTATGTAAGAGTTATTGGTGAAATAGTTTTTAATACTATCTTTATAAAATCCAGGTTGTATGTCTATGTGAATAAAGAAGTAAAAACCCATAGTATAGGCTGAGCATCCCTAATCTGAAAATCTGAAATGCTCCAATTCACCTCTAGTCTCAACCAGCCCAGATCAGGAGTATGCACATGCACACCCACGTGGGTCCAGTTGCATTACCACTCTGCCACTTCTCAGCCCTGGTGCGAAAATATTTTGAAATCCAAGTGTAGTTTTTGTTACACACATTTTCCACAAACTTTTGGAAGATCCTCTCTTGTGCGTTAGATAACAGCAATATCTATTACCCATTTTCTTAGGCCAAGAACCTGTTCTTACACAACACTTTGTATCCATCAGCATGTTGTGATCCAGCTTTTACATCTATGAAAAACATATATTTTGAAATAAACTATGCAGGGATTTCAATTTGTTTTTCTAAATTGATGGAGGGTACATGTGCAGAGACAGAGAGAAGGAGAAGTCATCCACCTTTCTCCCACCTAGTGGAGTGGAGTGGAATGGAGTCATACCACAATCCCTTTTCCTCCCTTTTTCATTGGGATTCGAAGAACGCATGCACATGCACTTGGTGTATTTTTCAAGTCACCAGGACCAGGAATCGAACTGAAATTGGTTGTGTGGGATTCAGCTTCCTTAATCACTAGGTTATGGGGCTGGCCTTCCAAGTTTTTTTCTACCAAAATAAACCTGTACTTTAATCTTATTTTTCACAACTTTTGAAGTACCCTCTTATATCACATTTCTAATGACTTCTCATAAAGCTCCAACACTTTCCACTAGTCTAGACTAGGACTCTGAAAACTGACACTGGGCCAAATCCACCCTGCAGCCTGTTTTTGTGAATAAAGCTTTATGGAAACATCACCACCACCCTGATTTCATTTGCACGTTAATTGCCACTTTCAGTGCTACAGTGGCTGAGTTGATGGCAAAGACTTGACAGAGACTATATGGTCCTTTATAGAAAAAGTTAGGTGAAGCGGGGGGGTCATAAGGATTTCTGCTACATCTTCATTTTTGTTTTCATAAACCTTTAAAATGATGAAAAATAGTCTTAGCTTACTGGCTTTCCAATACAGGATGAGGCCCATTGGCTTTCTTCTCCCACCCCTCCCCCCTCCGCCTTTTTTTAAGAGGTTTTTGCTATAGGGCACATGCACTTGCCAGAAAGAGAGAGACAGAGAGACAGAAAGTGAGAAATCACGCCTCAGGGGGGATGGCCACGCCGCAATCCCTTCTCCTCCATTCTCCTCTGGGGATCTTGGGCACACACGCACACGCACTCAGCATGAGTTTAAGCCGGGACTTAACTGCAGTCAACTACATGGGAGTCCAACGACATAGCCGTTACGCCAACTGCTGGCCCCCCCACCTCTGTTTTAAACCAACAATCCATTTCAAGCATAAATCACATCACATCACTTCATGTTAAAAATCTCTGAAGACCTTTCATTACACTTAAAATAAAATCCAAAAAACTTACCATAGGCTATAAGGCCTTTGAGATCCAGCTGCTGTGTAGTTGTCTGACTTGTCCTGTTGTCATGTGTGTGCTATCTGGCTGGCTTTGCTCTGTCCACATGTGTGCAAACTTGCCAAGTGCACGCCAGCCTCAGAACCTTTGCACTTTTTTTTTTTCCTGCAATACTTGTACATAGATCTTCTCAGATTGTTCTCCTTACTCAGGTCAAAGAGGTCTTACCTGAACCTCCCATGACTCTAATAACTCCCACCCAGCCCTGCCCCCCTTTATCTCTTAACTTTGCATGATTTCTTCAGAGCACTGATCTCTCTAATAATTATTTGTTTACTTACCTCTTCTCTGTTTGTTCCACTGGAATGTCAACACCCTGAGGACTGGCACCTTTGTGTGAGCTCACTGATGCATCCTGAGCCTCTGATGGTATCAGTATTAATAACACCACATTTAGGAAGTCTTCAAAAAGCTCATGGAAAATGCATAGTATGAAAAAACTGTGTATAGATTTCAAATTCTTTTGTACCAAAATAAGGTCATATATTAATTTAATTTTTCCATGAACCTTTTGGAGTCCCCTTGTATTTGTTGAATAGATGATTGGCTAGTTACATGCAGTGAATGTTGTTCCTAACTTATTCAATTTTTGGAAAGAATTTGCACTTATCTCTTATTGAAAACAGTTTTCTAATGTACATGTTTTGCTTTGTCTTATTTTCAATTTGCTGCTTGTATGTCTCTCTAATAGCCAATGGGCATCTTTTCCATTCTTGAAGAGGAATGTATGTTTCCTAAGGCTACAGATCTGACTTTCAAGACCAAACTCTTTGACCATCATTTTGGAAAGTCAGTTTATCTCCAGAACCCCAAGCCTGATAAAAAGTATGAAGCTCACTTTGAACTTGTCCATTATGCAGGAGTGGTAAGTTACTTCTAGACCCCCAACCTTGGATTTTCCTTACTGTTTCAAATGCACTAAACCAAAGTCCTTAGATAATGTTCAAGTAAAGTTTAGATTAAGTAAAGAGATGAGCAAAATATATCTCAGTTTCAGAGAAAAAGGTAGCAGAGCCTTTTAGCACTTAGGAAATGAAATGCCCATACTACAATAGCATTCCATGTGCACGGAGGTCAAAAATCTCAAAATGGACTCTGTCACCTCAACTCAAAGAAAGTCAGCTTCAGAAAGGCTTGGAGACCATCAAAGCCTTAGGTTTTTCCTTATTTGTCTTTCCTTTTAACTTGACATTGTGTGAATCAGTGATTTCAATTGATCTTTTTATTGAAGTTTTTTTTTTTTTATTCTCCCATAAAGAAATAGTCAATGTGAAGTAATGATCTCCCAACTATGGCCAACAAAAGTTTCTAATGACCCTCACTGCCAGTCCTCATGTCCCAGTAGTTGTGTGTGTCTTTTTTTCCCTGTTTTTATGCTTCTGGCCTATGCTTCTGGGTAGAACAAAAAGATAACTGATAAAGGACAGAATAATACTTCAACCCTCAAATGACTGACCAACTGTACATAGACACGCTTTTAGTTCTCTTCTTTCGTATCCTAGAATATTAATTATAAATGATATTTACAGTAAGATACTACTATAATTGCCAATTTATTGAGTGTCACTGTGTCAGGGACAGTTGGATTATTTAATCTAGTCTTATTTATGAGGGACTGCAGAGGTGAATTGTTCCTACTGGAGATACAATTTAATCCTACTGTCCCCTCTGTTCCTCTCCCTCCATCTTTCTCCCTCTTCCTTTCTCTCCTATTATTTTTTCCTCTGTCTATCTCTCTCTTTCCTCTCCTTCTCTCTCTGTCCCTTCCCTTCATTTTGTCAATGTAAATGATAAAGCTTGAAAACTCTTTGGGATTCACAATGGACTTCTGGGGAATTATTCAGTACTCTAAGATTAAACTGATTTAAAGTGAAAGGATCCAGACAATTTGTGATGTTTTTAAGTCATGCATAATTTGCTATGTTAATTTATGCACTTTCCTCTGCTGTTATGTGAAATGCATGCCTTTCCAAAGGTGCCTTATAACATCAGTGGTTGGCTTGAAAAGAACAAAGACCCTCTTAATGAAACAGTGGTGGCTGTGTTTCTGAAGTCTTCCAACAGACTCTTGGCAAGCCTTTTTGAAAATTACATCAGTACGGACAGTGGTGAGTCACACTGTCTTTCTTGATTTTTCAGCCTCAGAATAGAACCGCTGTATCAGTTTTTATAAAAATCCTTGCTTCTTCCTTGTGATACCTGTTTCTGCTCCCTGTGGTCTGAACCATCCCCTTGTATTAGCCTTTCTGTCTTCAGGGAAATAGTACTCATGTTTAAGATAGACATATTTCAAGAAGTCTGTTTCTGGCCTGCTTTATCTTCTGTTCAACCTATCTACAAAGAGAGAATAACAACAACAACAAAACAACATATTTTGATGAACGATTTTAGGGCAATAACAAGTTCTGAATGTGTGTGCATGTGCATGCATGCACACTCATATACATATACATTTTCTCTTCAAAGTATCTTAGAAGTCTCTTTTATAGTGCTCTGTGCACTTGGGGTTATTACAAACTCTAAGAAGGTACAAGTAATATATGACTTGTTCAACTGTAGTCTCCCACTTACGGGGTTATTACAAACTCTAAGAAGGTACAAGTGGAATATGACTTGTTCAAACTGTAGTCTCCCACTTATAGCTGATATCTGTTTAGAAGATATTCCATGAGTATTTATTGACCAACTGACAACTAATCTTGTTCAGTTTATAATTTACAAGGCACTTTTAAATACATTAATTTACTCAATCCTTGCCTTGACCCTTTCAGATATATAGAGAGAAGAACTTCTGCTTGTTTTACAGGAACAAGTATAAAGGAGTTAAGAGGTGTCCCCACTTGTACAAATTCAGTAATGGCAAAGCCTAGGTGAGAATTAAGGCTTGTTTCCTAGTCTAATGCCTATTCCATTCTCACTATCTCTGAAACAGAACAGGACAAGCCACATGCATCTTGTATAGAAGGAAAACTTCTGTGCCATTATGTGATGACTTCGAAGATACTGAGCCCAAGTTGCCAGCACCAACCTCACAACTGGGACTAACTCCATTGAGAAATTCTATATAATTTATTACATATGTCACAGATTGGCAGCCCCTGAGCAGAATCTGGCCTTAGAACAAACTTGGTCCACACAGATTAAACCAAAACAAACCAGGAGATTTCATTTACACATTAAGGTTTTCTTTTTCTTTTGAAAAATGGAGATTCTAGGAAAACAGAAAATTTGGCCAGCCTGGATTCTAATTTCCCTGTGGCAGCAATGGAGTAGTGTGCACTAACTCTTCCATAAGTGAGATGTGTATTCTCACTTCACTTTCTAATAGTCTCACCCTCCTATTATCTCCCACTTGGCTTATGTTAATTCCTGGCCCCTATCAGGCTGATTTGAGATTCCTGATTGACATGGCCAGAGATTGGAGAGATGATTTAACATTCCTGGCTTCATTAGCACATGGTGATATAATTCAGAAGCATGCTTGAAATCCTCTGGGCCTGCCTTATGAGGAGGTTGAGAAATGGAAGCTATCATAGTTGGACCCCACTAATCTTCAGGCAGAGCATTTGCCTGATTCTAATAGCTTCTAAAGTACCTCTGAGAAGTCTGTTAGATAGTGGCCACATAAGCTTATGGCTCCCAGTTGAGTAATTCTTTGATCATAAGAGATCAGAGAGTGGATTGAGCAGAGAATTAGAGAGGAAATCATCTTCTAACTCTTCAGGGTATGTGCTGTGTTCTTTGGAACCAGAAGAGAAGAAATGTCCAGGATGTCCTTTTTTTGTAATGCTTTATGCACTCTCTGAAAATACTTGCCTTCAAGTTTCTGACTCATCCAAACACTAAATTGCCCATAATAACAATAGTTTTTCCTGGTGAATCCAAGTACTTTAAGCCAGAGTTATAATTCTTCTTCTTTTAAAAAAAATTAATGGAAGGTAATATTATTTCCTTTTCATGGACGGAGAAATTGAACTACAAAGATATCAAGTGATTCCCTTAGAGGATTGGGGGTGTGTAAAAAAGACATTAGTGAGTAAATTTTATGACTCTCTCACCCCATGCAGTTGCTACTCGGGCCTAGAGAATATTGTATTAGTTTTCCATACTGGTAGCTTGTGTACTTGCTTCAGATTGCCTATAGATTTTGTTGTTGGTGATGTTGTACATCTTAGTGTTTTAGCACAACACAAATGCTTGAAAAAGAGGTAGGCAGCCTAGGCTCTTTTGCTTTAATAAAATGAAAACATTTATCATTATTATGATTATTATTTTAATTTTCCAGAGGACATGTGCACTTGCCAGAAAGAAACAGAGAGAGAGAGAGAGAGAGAGAGAGCGAGAGAAGGTAAGAAAGTACCCTTATGGGAGGTGGTTACACTGCAATCCCTACTCCTCCATATCTTTCTCCTTTTGGGATTTTGGACAAGCATGCACACATGCCCAACGCATTTCTCAGATCTCTGAGTCTGGGACATGACCTGTGCAGTGAGCCATGTGAGATCTGGCTGCTTTAACCACCATGCTACTGGCTGGCTCCAGATTTATTAGTTTTTATAAATTATAAAAGTAACACATGAGTACTGCCCCAAACATGGACAATGTAGAAAAACTAAAAAGAAGAACATAAAAATTACCTATAATCTCACATAGTTAACAATAGTTAACATTTTGGTATATAGAATACCCAATATCATTTTTGATGTTTATGGTCACCTATTATAACCATATATTTAAAAACATATATACACAGTGGAATCATGTAACATAAAGGTTTGCTTTTTCTCTTATAGTAAATCCTAGAACATTTTCCACATGAATTATATAGATTCACATCATAATTTTAAAAGGTTACAGTATTTCATTGTATGTAGATTTCTCTTTTTTTCATAATTTAGGTACTCTCCAATAAGGGACATTTGTTGCTTAATTTTATCTTTGCTTAATTTTTGTCAATGACTAAATTACACTTCAGTGAGTAACTTTGCAGAGTTATCTGATTATATTCTTAAGGAAAATCACTAAAAATAAACATTTTGTGTTGAGACATAAGTATTTTTGAAACTTTTGGTAGGTATTGCCATATTATTTCTAGAACTCTGATAAATTTATACTTCCATCATTAGAATATGATAATGTGACAAAAAAAAATTTAAATGTTTTCTTTTTCTCTCTTTTTTAAAGCTGTACAGTTTGGGGAAAGGAAACGCAAGAAAGGAGCTTCATTCCAAACAGTTGCATTTCTGCATAAAGTAACTTTTAATCTCATCTCTTTATATATTAACTGTCTCACGAGCTGCATATGTTATTACTCACTTGAAATTTCACATCTTCAAATAAGGATGAAATAACTAAAGTTAGCAATGTTAGAAAAGTTGAAGTTTGTATTGGTATTATCAAGGGCTTTAGAGGACACTACTGATAGTCCTTTTAGGTCCCCTTTATCAACTCTGCCCCCATCTTCCACTGGTGTGAATATTGGCTCATCACAACCATGGTACCAGAATTACCCATGGCCAAATGGGAAGCTAAACTACCTCCTTTACTGCCCCTTTAGACTTTGGCTCCTCTCTTGCCTCAAGTGGGGGATCCATTTTGGTACATTTGAGCTCAGAGCTCCTGCAAGGCTCAGACTAAAGCTGAATCCACACCATGGCTTTTTTCTTCCTCTGCTTTATTCTATTTCCCTCACTTTCCAAATAAATCTCTCAAACCTAAAGAGCCATCTCAGATTCTGCTTCAGGAGAATCTGATGTAAGATAAAGGTTTTCCGCAGATGGAAAGCTTGAGAAACAATTTCTTTTCTTAAGCTTTTTTATTATCCAGACATAAGTCATTGCTATCAAATTCAAAACAGATAGCAATGTTTCACAATGGAACTATGTCTGTCAGGTAAATATTGACTTGTCATGGGAAAGAAATAATATATGTTTGGTAAGCAGGGAAGAATGGCTTAAGATGTGACTACAAGATTAAGTTGATAGATTTGGAAACATTTGTGAGGTGGATTGGTGTTTTTAGTGATTTACAAAGTGATTTTGTGTTTATTACAATCTCCATTTTAGGAAAACCTAAATAAATTGATGACTAATCTGAAATCAACAGAACCTCATTTTGTGAGATGCATAAATCCCAATATGAATAAGATGCCAGGTAAGAACTAGACTTCTTAGTAATCCATGCTAAGAAATAGATTGATTTCAGCTATGTTGAATATCTTTTTAAAAAACATTTTCAGGTCACTTTTATATGAAAGTAGATTTTCTGATTTAAAAAAATGAAAGTGAGTTAAAAATGAGGCCTTAAGAGCCTTCTCAAGACAGCCTTTGAATTGAGATTCAAGTGGACACATGGAAAGATTTCACAAAACTGGCTCAAATGCGTAATATCAGAATGCTTGATAATACCATTTAAATTCCTCCTTGAGTTTCATGCTAAAATGTGAATGAGCTCCTATGCCACTATCTGTAAGGGCAAAGTATAATAAAAGGGATTGAATAATCAATTGGAGGATTGAGGTAGATATTTCAGTGTAAAGGAAGTTATTTGATCTGAGTTTTCTTAATCAACCATGAAGACAGTTTCCAAAATCCATTTTTAATTGATAAGAATTCCATTTAGTCTTCCTTCTTAATACTAACATTGTCCCTCTCTCTAGTAATACCCATTTATTTAGTTATGTAATTCTGGGCACTGGACACTTTTTTAAAATAAAGGATGTAGGCATAGGAAATGTGAGCTTTCTGGACATAGACAGAGACGGTAATAGGAAAG